AGCTAATCAATCAAAACGAAAAACCAACTGAAAATCATTTATAATTTAGTAAAGCAAAAAACAACTAATTGAAAAAAATAAAATGGCATCTAAAATGATTAGTACAACAGCATAAACATTCTGATCGTGAAGAAGCATCTAACAATTGACTAATCAAATAAACTAAAGCATAACAACCTAAAATTAATCCGGGATTAATTAAAAAAAGAAATGGGGATTTAAACAATAGAAAATTAGTATTATGGTTTTAAGATCTTCGTCAAATTTAATCCATATAAATAAGCCATCAAAAATCAAATTATGGGTGGAAAGTTATGGAACCCACGGAGTCGGTGATGACGTCAGAAGTCATCACCGACTTCTGAGCTTACGTTCTAGTAACGTCGCGAAAATAATTTTCGCGATAAATTTCGCGATAAATTTTCGCGACGTTCTAGTAACGTCGCGAAAATAACAAATCATCAACTAGTAAGATATATCTCGGGGCATGGTCCATTTCCAAGCTACTTTTACAAGCATGGAATTGCAAATAGTGAATATTGTGTCTGCGGAACTCTAGGCGTACCTGAACATTATATTACTACATGCCCGTTAACGGAGGAATTTCACATTCCTTTCCCTGTGGATAATCAACTAGCATTTAGTAAATTTTTAACTAAGCAGAAGTACCTTATCAGAAAACTCTCAAAAATTATGGACATTCTCCACAGTTATGGATCTGATCTATGTCAGGTTGTCTAATGTTAATGGTTTTGTCCTGTTTTCATAATACAACTGTATTCTTGTACACTCCAGTTGCATTCTTGTCTGTTTACATAGTGTTTTCATAATACAATTGTATTTTTGTACACTCCAGTTGCATTCTTGTCTATTTACATATTATAACTATATTCTTTCTTTTTAATAGGGCCCACCAGCGGCCGAGCGGTAAAGTCGCTGAACACTGGTAGTTCGGTCCGAGGTTTGAATCCCGCGAACGGGCTGGCTGCATGGGCGTTTTCGTGGTTTTCCTCATGTGTAACGTGTATACGAGCCAGTTTCCCTTAGAAAGTCCTCCACGAAGGCATCCCTCCTGTTAGGCAGATAGCCCTCGAGGCTTTGCCATATTCACACACACACACACACACACTTTTTAATAGTCCCAGTATTGTTACAAATATTATTAAAAATTGTATTGTATTTTAAATGCACTATAAGATATTGCACAATAAGTATTATACTCGCAATCTCAAACTATAGATATGGTATTACTATCTTACTGAATTACAAGCTACATATTAAGTATTCTAATCTGGTTATATATCAAAAATATTGTATCGAGCATTGTAATAACTATTGTATCAAACTATTAGCATTGTATCATATTTCATTATAATTACAATATACAATATTTGCACCCTAAGTACTGCATTATATTCTAACTAGTCTATTAACTTAATTTACTTATTATTTTTAATTCTTGCATTAATTATTGTATTTAGTTGGTAGTTATGTAATATTATGTTGAGTTATAAGCTCTACCCTAAGAATATGTGATGCAAACATATTGAAATTATGAACATCGTATCGCTATGTATGCTTTAGTATGGAACTATAAATTAAATTCTTTGCAATACAGAAACTGGATTATTATTAGCTGGATTATTAGCATAACGTTATAAGTAGTCTTGATTCAACTTGGCATTAACTATTTATTGAATTACATGCAGAATTTTAGACTTTAGATTTTAGATTTAGTTTATTGATTATATTGAATTATATGTCGTGTATTGCATATTGCACAGAATTATTAATATTGAATTGATCATAAGTATTTTTTATACATTATATTGGTATAACTATATTGTTGCATTGTATCACATATTGCACAGAATTAATATATATTTGAATTAATCATAGGTATTTTTATACATTGCATTTGTATATTTTATACTGTTGCAAAATAGTTCTTTTTATCCTCAGTATTGTTACTGAAGTGTTGCTCTTGTGTATTGTATACAAAGTATTGCATTTAATTCGCTTTAGTTATTAAGAACATTGCCTTATAGGCATCATACTATTAAGAATATATATATTGCACTTCTTTTTATACCCTGAGATACGTACTGAATTAAATATTGTATTAATTATTTTACCGAACTAGCAATTGTGTTAAAATACTGTATGAAATTTAAAGTAGTATTTTGGTCTCATTTTGCTTTAAATATTCCATTAAATTATAAATAGTATCATAGACGTAGCTTATCGATTTTATACTGTATCATATGTCTTGTATTGCATATTGCATAGAATTATTACCAATTACTTGACAATGTGTATTTTTTCTACATTGCATTTGTCTATATACTGTCACATACTCTATTTATTTACTCTTAGTATTGTATTGTACCTATTGTTGTTGTGTCTTGTATACTAACCCTGTAAGCATGTTAATTTACCTATTGTATCACATATCTTACGTATTTGCAGTACATTATATTATATCGTATAACCGTATTGTATAATATATATATTAAATTGTGAGCTTCGTATGGATATGTATCATCTTATATGAAATTGCAATGTTGTGAGCATCGTATACATAATAAAATTGCACTATAAGTCCCCTGCAATGCAGGAAATGTGTAGTTGGTATCGTAATATAAATAATGTATCATTAATTTTGCATTAACTTTTGTAATTGAATGATATAGCATCCATTATCTTACGTATTAGTTGTAAATCATATTGTACTGTATACTGTATTATATAATATATACATTAAATTGTGAGCATAGTATAGATATGTATCATCTTGTATATAAATTGAATTATAAGTTCCCTGCAATACAGTACTGTGTAATATATATTAAAATTGTGAGCATCGTATAGATATGCGTCGTATAAAATTGCACTAATATAGGAAATATACAGTTGATATAGTAATATAAAATAGTGTTTATTATTAACTTTGCATTAACTATTGTATTGAACAATATGGCTTATTGATCTTATATTGAATTATCTATCTTGTCTTGCATCTCGTACAGAATCATTAGTATCGTTTTACCTTGTATTGGTATATATCTGTATGTGTGTATGTATGTATATATGTGTGTATGTGTATATATATATATATATGTGTGTGTGTATATGTATATATGTATATATAGTTGTATAATGTACCCTCTTTACCGTGCATTGGTATTTATATAGTTGCATAATGTATTTATGTATTGTATCCTTGCTTTGTACACTAACTATTGTATTGAACTTACCATCGGTATTAAGATCATTACATCATCGATATCATACTATCAGCATTATTATCAGCCTAGTATATAGCAGCAGTAGCAGTTTTGTAATATTTAGCATTGTATCAGTTTGTAGTACTGTTTGTAAGTATTCTAGTAGTAGTTTTGTAATATTGTAGTATTGTAGTATGTAGCAGTAGTAGTTTTGTAGTGGTGTTTACTCCTTTGGTTTTCTATTGTTATCGCTATCTGTATGTGTTTTGTTCTAATTATGTCTATGTGATTATAGTATTTATTCAAAACTGGCACTTGCACCTTTGTAATCTTATGCTTTGTCAAAACTATAAATGTACCCTTTATTTATCTATTTATTTTATTTATTTATTTATTTTGAGCCCTTGTCTGGCCATGTATTTGTTGAACTTTGACTCAATAAATACTAGGCCCGGTCGGTTGGTGTGAACATGCTTCTGGGGGCTTCTTTGGTCTTTTGGACTGCCACCTGGATGGCCTGGTTGCTGGGTTTCGGTGTTTGGTGCGAGGCACCTGTGTGGCCCATCTGGCTCAAGATAGAGGTGGACGTGTTGCATATGCCAATTAACCATTACGGTAAAGGGATGGTGCACACGTCCCCCGTCAACTATCAACTAACGTCGCGAAAATTCCTATGATCTCTGCTGAAAATTATTTATGGTCCACAGGCCACAGACTGAGAAACCCTGGTAATGGCAGTCTTCATTTTCTGACTCATAAAACTGAGAAGAAAGAATATGTTTTTATTTTTAAAACACGTTTAAAGCATGATATGAAATTTACCTTAGCGTAATAATGAAAATATTTGCTGCAAAAATAAAAAATTCATACTTCTTTTCAAATTGAAATAAACTTTAAAGTAGGAAATTAGTGTTACAGATAGCGAAGAATATTCTTGTTATTGAAATACAGGAGCTTGGGTCAAAAACGCTTTAAAGCTTTAACCATTAAATTTCTCATCAAACTAAAATGTAATGTAGGTTGATAAACTTATACGTATTATAAAAACTACATGGAAATAGTTTCGTTATATGTACTGGATAGTATTATGTACTGGATAGTAAAATTAAATCAAAATTTCTATTTCTTCTGATGTTGCAAAATGAACGATAAAGGTTATATAGCATTTAATTTTCGGTAATAAAAGCCTATCAAATAAAATATTAGTGTTTTTTACTATCCAGTAGATATAACGAAACTATTTCCATGTAGTTTTTATAATATGTGCTGTACCAATCGGAAAACCTAAGAAACTTTTTTTATTGAACATAAAAACGAAAAAGATATTTTTAGATTCTTAAACACTGCGGAATAATTGTTTTTGTTAGAATTACAAATGCAACATTTTTAATGCGTCGAATAATCTTATACCTTTTTGCAGCTTTCTTACCGTACGCATTCAGTACCAAAAATTTAGCTCTTTCCTTGCAAATGACAAAGTTCATGAAATTTCTCAAAATACTGGCCTAATAGAGTTCATAGCTTAACTCAGTAGGATCTATACAGCATAATTTTTATAGAACTATGTATATATAGCATAGTTTATATAAAAGCATATATTATATAGGAGCATATATTTTTTATACAAATATGCATGTGTAGCATAGTTTATATAAAAGCATGTATTATATAGAAGCATATAAGTAGAGTATAGGATTTATAGTAATATGCATGTGTAGCATAGTTTATATCATAACATAGTTTATATAGAAATTAATAAATTTTGCAGCTTACCACAAGTAGTGACAAATCTAGACTTCCAGATAATCGGTTCGCAGCCAGTCTCAATTCTTTTAACCTACAGGCTGCACCTTCTGGTAAAGGACCTATAGTAGATATTCGATTCCTTTGCAAGTTAAGGATTTCCAAGTTCTGAAGCGTCCAAATTGTGGTCGGAATTTCTTCCAGATGATTGTTCGAAAGGCTTAACGTAGTCAAGGAAATCAACATGGACCAGTCTAAAGGTAAACATTTTATGTGATTGAAGTCACACAGCAAACGTCTGAGTCTGTAAAATTTTTTAAAAAAGAATAATGTAAGTAGTAATAGCAGAGTTTTTATTACTGGAGGGCAACATTTTAAAAATATTGCCACTCAAGCAATTATTCATGTAAATTACCAATTTTCATTGTTAGATGGAGCAAACACTGGAAATACATTCCTAAAACAATTCGATTCTATTTGAGTAATTACACAACTCTTTTAACTCTGAACTAGCGAAGCATCAGTTGCACTCGATGGTGAAGAATTGCAAGTGTCACATAATGTAGCAATTTTTTTTTTTTCATTTTCCTAGGCTTCGATTCCGAATCTGTAGATCCGATATTTCGTTCATATCCTAAAGTAATTCAGTCAGTCATACAATCAAGTACTTTTGGACACCAATAGTCAGACAATATGGGTAACTATATAGGTATATTGTCTTGAGCAGAATTCATACCCCTTAAGAATATAATTTTTTATTTTAGGATTTTGATAATCTATTTTAGAGTTTTGATAATCAAAGAAATATGTTTCAAATACTAATACAGCGGGCAATATTTTTTATCTAAATGAGATGATACTTCGCTTCAAAATATTAAAAGTTTGCATCCCAAGCAAAAACTACTCAAAGTTAATTTGAATTAAGGTGAGCTTAATGCCGATGCTTGATCACACTGGAAGGGTTCAAATGGTCAGACATTTAAGTACTCAACAGTACCTCGCGGGTAGGATGCCGTGTTTATTAGGCTACAATTTGCAGAGATTCGGAATTGAGTGCGGATATGAGATTCATTCCTACTTGTTTTACCAATACAGAGCATCAATAACGCACAAGCAGTTAGCAGTTGGTATGCCCATCGACGATATATCCGCGGTAGGCGCTTGATCATTAGAGTTGTTGCAAGCTCATAAATGAAATGAGAATCTTTCTTGCGCAGATAATAAATCCACAATTAGAGTTGCTAAGGTTGCTATATTTAGCCGCCATTGTAGATTGGCACATTTCAGCAATCCCACTTGTTTGCAAATTCGAAGCTTGCATCATTTGGTTTGCATGCATTTCACTCTCAGTGAGGTGAAACTAGTTTATATAGCAAACACAACAAATTATTTGTGCTTTTAGTACTTGAATTACTCAGTATAATAATCAGGGCTTAATTTCTAAAATTAGAAGTGCCGGAGTCCTATGGAAGACCGTCAGCAAAGAGGAACAAGAGTAAATAAATAAATAAAATGACTATTAAAATCATTAATAATTAAAAAATTAAATCGTTCATAATTATCAACTTAATTCATAATTACTTAATTAACATTTTATCAATTATTATTTTATTCATAATTATTATTTAATTAAATAAAAATTAATTTATTATTGTTTATTTAAGTAATTAAAGATTAAGGTAATTAAATAACTAAAATAAAATGTAAAGAGATAAACTAAAATTTAATAAGCGATTTTTAATAGAATTTTATTGAAAAAAAAATTTTCGAAAATTGAATTTTCGAGATCAAATTTCTACTGAAATTGTTGTTCAGTTACATAAATGAAGTGCCGGAGCCTTCATATTCAGAGGTCCGGTGCGCTCCGCCTAGAATTATGATTTATCCCCAAAACTAAAAAGTACCGAAGCTCGGCTCCGGTGCACTTCGGCGCAATTTAAGCTCTGATAATAATGAACTTCACAAACGACAGAAATCTGTGAAGGAGTACATGAATTAATGAATCATGAAACTCCTAATTTACGGATCAGGAAGAATTTGTTTTATCCATAAAAAAGCATAAAATGTCCGAAGGTAATCGTTAAAAATATCTCAGTTGAGATGAGATGAAAAGCAATACATGGATTCAAATTTAATACATTATTTTACTTTATTTTCCGACTTATATTACAGTTAGAACAATCTATTTAGAGTATCTATTACGATAGAACTTTTCTATACCCACAGTAGTTCTAAAATAAGTTTATATTATTTAAGTTATTATTAAGATTCTATTTTCCAACTCCCAATTTAATAAAACTTCAAACTAAACAGATGTTTCCTAAACAATTATTTTAAAATTCAAATTCTGCCGCGCGATTGTTTGCTATTTCTATAAAATTTGCTATAGTTTTAATATCGTTTTGAATTTGTTGTGAGGAGTCGGTTATGATAATCTTTTCAGATTTATTAGTGTCTTTATTTATAAATTTGTTATATTTGGTACACCGAAAGAATTTTAATGTAAATAATTTATAAGTTTTGAAATTCTAAAAATAGGTTCTTAATAATCTCTCGGAAGTTTTATTTCTTCATTATCATAATCTATTACTAGTAAAATAATTCAATAAAGTACAAATATTTTTTATTTTTATTTAATGCAAATAATACTACGAGTTTATTATACGGCTATATTGAAACCTGTCAATGTTTTCTAGATCCCGAAATCTGTAAGATTCTAAGAATAAGACCCACATTTTGAAAAAAAAAATTATATTGATCTATGTTTTTCAAAATAATCTACACAGAAATCTCGACATGTAGTTTCTTGGGATTAGAAACATTTTTCTAAACGATATTTTACACTAATGTTTGTGAAAAATGCAACACCATGAAAGAATATTTGAAAATGAACGAAATTTATTCCGCATATTACTGATAATGGTGCAAATAAATGATCAAATTTACAATACAAACAACAAAACGAACGTCGGAAATCAATACTTTGAGTGTCCGGCACGCTCTGCGATAACAGCCTGTACACGACGTGGCATTGAATCGCGCATGTTCTGAATGTAATCCTGAGGAAAGGTATTCTATATGACTTCGAAATGACTCCAAAGTTCAGTCTCAGTGTGTGCCCCACCAGCTGTACGAGCCAGTCCCTGACCTACGAAATCCTAGATATGCTCAATGGGTGGCATATTCGGGAAATAAGCAAACCATATAAGAAGCGAAACCTGTGTGCCCTAAAGAAGGCTTGTGGTGTCTGAGAAACATGTGCATGAGCTGAAATATAGCGCCCGGAATGTCGAAGAATGGGAAGGACCTCTGGCTCCACAATTTCCCTTATATAGCAACCACTGTTGAGGTTGCCCATAATCTGCACTAGATTGACAGTTATACTCGATAACTTCCCACACCATGATGCAAGGTGCTGGATAACACACTGTGGGAGCAGACGTTTCCATTTGTAATGTCTGACGCGTAATATTCCATCATTGTACTCCAGATTATAGCGAGATTCATCGGAGAAAACAACTTCTTGCCACAAGGCACGCCACGCACCGTGTTGCCGTGCTCACTGAAGTCGGACGTGTCTGTAATTCAACGACAGGGGAATCCTTCTTAGAGGAACCTTGCACGCAGTTCATGCTGCAGCAGACGCCGATGAGCCTTGGAGCTAGACAACACAACACCTGTAGCCGTGCTCCAACGTTTATGTTAACACACGAGAGGTTGCTGTACGATCTGTCCCAGCCATGCGGATGAGGTGTCTGTCGTCCCGTGCCCTTGTGCTGTTGCGTGCCCCACTGCAGGATTTCGCCTTGTTTGGTTCTTCTCACTCGATTTCCTAAAAAAAAAGCACACATCACTTTTGCGGCATTACCATGCCGGCACTTACGCTGCGTGTAGTCTATGATTGCTCGCTGCGAAAGTCCACCCTCTCGCATACTTACGATGCGGCCTCATTCGAACTCTTAGTTGGTATGACACCCTCCGCTCTTGACAAGGTATATTAACCATTCATTAAACGTTCACCACAGACAGAGAACGATAAACAGAGTGCAACGCAACTTTGCAGTTCTTTATATACATGGAACAAGCGGCAGGGATCTCTTTCCACGGATGCGCAATCGTTTTGTAATTCTAATCATTTGCATGTCTTTCCTCACTTTATACTTCTTGTAAGTTTGGTTCAATTTGCATAATTCCTTCATTGTATTGCAATTTTCACAAACATTAGTGTAGTTACTACAAATGCAAACATTTCGCACTTCGATTTGTGTACAGCCTTAAAATATGATTCCCGATTTTTATATGAAATACCTTGGTCAATTTATAACGTACAGAAGTCAAACTTTTTATGTCTGATTTTCTACAACGAGCACAAAATTATTCTCAACGTAAGTAGAGGAAACGGAGGAGCGTGTAAGAAGTTAGATATCGTATTTTATATAAAATTACTTTTTCGAGTTTAGAAATACAAAAACAGATATCTTTGAGTCATTAAAATATTTTTATAATTAGAAGAACATGTCTATGACCAACGGTTGCGAAAGTAAAGGCCGGCAAGGACTTTTATGGACATGATGTATATAACAGCAAGAACGAAACACAGATTATCAACTTATCACAGCCGTTTTGAGGCGACACCAACACAACAACCAAAATCTCTGGTATAACAAGCAAAATTACAAGAGGGGACTGTGTATTTACTACAGTTAAACAATGACAAAAAATGACATTATTCTTTAAAGAATACGTTGCTGCGTGGGGTTCCTCTTAATCTATTTTTTAATTGTAGGTCTGACTAGCTAATGAGTTTTATATTCTTCATTCCTATACAAAGAATACACACACATCAGCAAGTAAATAACAATTTCGAAAACTTCCCAAAACAAATACGTAACAGTATGAATTCCCTAAGTGAGTTCCAATTTCTTTTAAAGGAAAAGAATCTCTTTGATACAAACACAAGCCAAAAATAAGTAAAAACACTCGTCGTCAGGTTCTTAAATCTCTCGGCAACAAAAGATCTTCCATTTGCATCTGGGTATCATTATGCTTTTTTAAATTCCAAAGAACTAATTCCTCCCGAAGAGAGAATGCATCGCGTGACGATCCATTGTTCTATTATCAGTAAAACACAGAAGACGATCCTCCACCATCGGGGTATTAAGGTCAATAGCACATAATACCGCGCCTTCTTCCTAGGTTCTGCCCTGCCGGCTCGGGGAAGAAGAGAAAACAAGAAGATTAGATCACAGCCAGCTGAGCTCGACACAAAGAAAAACTTGTAATTTCGTCAAACAAAGTCTTAGG